GGATAGATATTACAACTTCTTTGAATGTTCAATAGAATTTATCAATGAAGCATTCTGGACCTGGACTTTTGTATGTTGGGAGCTTTTAAATTACTGATAAAGTCTCCTTATAAATAATTAGTATATTCAGATTTTCTATTTCCCTATGATTCAGTCTTGGAAGATTATACATTTCTAGGAACATAATGAGCTCTTCTACGTTGCCCAATTCGCTTTATCTTTAATTGTTCATAGTAGTCTAATGGTCGTTTGGATTGCTGCGGTATCAATTATACCTTCTATTTCATTTCTGATTTTATTTGAGCTCCCCCTCTCTCTTTTTTAATTTTTTTTGTGAATCTAGCTAAAGGCTTATCAGTTTTGTTTATCTTTTCAAAGACCCAGCTTACAGTTTCATTGATCTTTTCTATTGTGTATTAAGTTCTATTTCATTTATTATTTCCTTCCTTCTACTAACTTTGGATTCATTTTTTTTTTCTTTTTCTAGTTCCTTTGGGCATAAAGTTAGATTATTTGAGGTTTTCATTTGTTTATTTGTTTCTTGAGATGGGCCTGTGTTGTTATGAAATGAACCTATTATATTTGCTTTTGATGCATCCCCTAGATTTTGGTATATCATATTTCTATTTTTCATTGTCTCTAGATTTTTTTTCTAATTTCTTTTCTGAATTCTCCAATGACTCAGTGGTTATTGAGTTACATGTTGTTTAATCTCCACATTTTTGCATTTTTTTTTCAGTTTTCTTCTTATAATTGATTTCTAGTTTCATGCCATTGTGGTCAGAAAAGACGCTTGATATGATTTCAATCTTCTTGAATTTACTGAGACTAGTTTTGCAACCTAACATGTGATCTATCCTGGAGAATGTTCCATGTACCATAGAGAAGAATGTGTATTCTGCTGTTTTAGAATGGAATGCTCTTAATATCTACTAAGTCTTTCTGAACAAATGTGTCATTTAAAGTGAATGCTTTCTTACTTATTCTGTGTCTGGATGATCAATCCATTGATATACGTGGGGCATTAAAATCCCCTACTACAACTGTATTTAATTTCTCCCTTTAGATATGTTAATATTTATGTATTTGGGTGCTCCTACATTGGTGGCATATACATTCATAAGTGTTATATCTTCTTGCTGTATTGACCCTTTTAACATTATGCAGTGTCCTTTTTGTCTTTTATATTAGTCTTTGTTTTAAGGCATATTTTGTCTACGAGTGTAGCAAACCAGCTTTCTTTTTATTTGCGCTGACACAGAATATTTTCTTTTCATTCCTTCACTTTCAGTCTGTGTTTTTAGTTCTTAAGTGAATCTCTTACAGGCAGCATATAGATGCATATTTTTTAACTCTTCACACACTTTATATCTTTTGATTGCAGAATTTAGTTCATTTACATGTAAAGTAATTATTGATAAGTATGTACTTATTGTCATTTTGTTGACCATTTTCTGGTTGTTTTTATAATTCTTCTCTGTCCCTTTCTTCCCTTTTTCTCTATCCTTGTGGTTTGATATCTTTCCTCAGTGTTATATTTACATTCCTTTCTCAATTTCTTTTGGGTATTTACAACAAGTTTTTGCTTTGTGGTTACTGTGAGGTTCACATATAATATTCCTATGTATTTAATAGTCTATTTGAAGTTGACATCAACTTAAATTTGAATAAACTCCAAAGTTATATTTTTACTCTTTTCCCTGTTTTGTTTTTGATATGCCATTTTCAATCTTTTTATTTTATGTATCTCTTAACTGATTATTTTAGTTTTAGTTAATTTACCCTTTTCTTTTGACCTTCATACTACCTTTATCAGTTATTAATCCACTAACTTTACTATATATTTACCTTTTAAAAGTGACATTTTTACTTTCATATGTAAATGTCCTTAATTACCATTATGTTTTTTCTATTTAAAGAAGACCTTTTACAGTTTCTTGTGAGGCCATTTTCATTGTGATGAAATCTTTTAGCTTTTGTTTTTCTGGAAAACTCTTTATCTTTCCTTTAATTCTGAATGATAATCTTGTTGGATAAAGTATTCTTGGTCAGAAGTTTGTTGTTGTTGTTTTCCCTTTCAGTACTTTGAATAGGTCATGCCACCCTTTTCTGGTCTGCAGTTTCTTCTGAAAAATCTGCTGGTAGCCTTAGGGATTTCCCATGTATGTAACAAGCTTGTTTCTCTTGCTACTTTTAAGATTATCTCTTCATATTTAACTTTCAAATTTTAATTATGGTGTGTCTTGGTGTAGATCTCTTTTGGTTCATCTTGTTTGGAACTCTATGGCCTTCCTGGATCTGGATGTCTGTTTCCATTCCCAAATTAGAGAAGTTTTCATCCATGATTTCTTCAAATAAGTTTTCTGTCCCTTGCTATCTCTTTTCTCTTTCTAGGACCCCTATGTGCAGATATTATTCTGCTTAATGTTGTCCCATAAGTCCCTTAAGGTAGCTCACCTTTTAATTGTTTTTTTTTTTTTTCTTTTTGCAGCTCTGTATGGGTGACTTCCATTGCTTTGTCTTCCAGTAAACTGAACTATTTTTCTGCTTTATCTAGTCTGCTACTGAATCCCTCTAGTGTATTTTCCATTAGTTATTGTATTCTTAAGCTCGATAACTTCTATTTGGTACTTTCTTATATTTTCTCTCTCTTTGTTTAAGTTCTTATTGCATTCATCCATTATTCTCCCTAGGTCAGTGGGCATCTTTAGGAACATTACTTTGAACCTTTATCAGGTAGATTACTTATCTCTGTTTTATTAAAGTCATTTTCTGAGGTTTTGTCTTGTCTTTCATTTGAAACATATGTCTCTGTCTCATTTTGCCTGATTTTCAGAACAGCTGCCTCTCCCAGTCTTAAGAATTGGCTTTGTGTAGAAGATTATGTGTGAGGCCCAGGAGCAAAACTCCCTGACTACTAGAGTCAGGTGCTCCAGAGGTATCCCCATGCACCTGCCAGCTGTGGCAGAGTGATGGCTGTGGCATAGAAGGAAAGGAGATGCTTCCCTGGCAGTGGTATGGCTATGGAACATGAGGGATGAGGCACTTGCCTACTTGTGGTAAATCCCTGCCTTGGAAGGGCAGTTTTCTTGCCTGGCTGAATAGGCCATGTTTTTGGTGTGATCCAGGGTGCTCTCCCATTGGGCTATGGTATAGCTGGGGCATGGTTAGGTGTAATATACCTACTTTCACTAGCAGGTTGGAGGGAGATTGCCAAAATAACACCCACCAGCATTAGCATTAGCAAGGTAGAATGAGATTGCAAAAATGCACCTGCCAGTGCTTCTGTTCCTGGAAAGAGTCCCAACATATTTCTGCCTCTCTAGTGATCAATTTAGGATTAGTAATTGGGTCTGTTCACATATGGACCAGGTGCTTTTCAAACTGCTGCTTTGCTGTTTGTGCTTCAAAACCTTGAAGATTTTCCCTCATATGTTAGTGTTCCTCTTAATGTATTTTTGAAATACATTATTCCCTCTTATTCTTGAACTGCACTTTTTTTATACATTGCACTTTTTTTATTATATGTTATTCCCTCTTATTCTTGAACTGCACTTCCTTGACTGAGGACTTAGTCATCTTTTATAAGTTACTTATTTAATCTTCTTATAGTTTTCCTTAAGTTCATCTTCCCTACCTCCACTTCCCCATTCTCAGTTAATGATCCCAAAGCTGAAAGAATTATTTTTTTCTTTTTTTGAATCTGAACTTGTTCTGCTTTCAATCCTCAATTACTCTTCAATAGCTAAAAGATAAAAGCTAAGTTTCCTAGATTCGTATAGAAGATCCTCTATGATCCAGCCTCCTTTGGTAATTACCAACTATTTCCCACTTACAACTTACCATGCAACCATAATGAGCAAATAAAAAAATTCAATTTTCTATAATTATAGCTATCATCATCATGTCTTTTTCAGCTTAGAAATTTTATCTCTCTTCTGAGCACTTTGAACACTTATACTTTACATTTAAATTTCAGTTCATTTGTGACATCTCCCTTGACTTGCCAAGGCATTTTGTCACATTACTTGGACTTTGTGGTATTCACACCATATGACTATTATTGCTTCTCTCATCCACTTGCAATCATTAATATATATATGCACATACCCCACAGTAAGCTTTGCATTTTTCATGACAGCATTTTCAACATCTAATAATGCTTCAATAATTAGTACCAAATATGAATTGAGCAAATAAATCAAAACTTTTAACTAAAAGAAATTCTAAGGAATTCAATGTTTGTAACTTAAAACTTGCCATGAATAAGGAAATAAGAATGCATTTTTACATTCCTGATATTTGAAATCCATATGACTTTATAAGGCAATTCCAAAAAACGTAATTTTTCTTTTGGTAACTGAAGTGTAATGATCTTTATTAATTTATGAAAGTTAAAAAGCTTTAAAATAAAGCTATTATCACATGTCAACTATCAGAGAAAATTAAATTTTAGTTATACGATATATCAACTACAGAAAATATTCTTAAGAATATATCTTTAGGGTAGTTTAAAGAGAATTTTCAAAGAAACTACTTAGACTACCCTGGAAATGACTCATTTCCTTGAAATTTTCTCCAGGAATGTCCCTGGTATAATATAGATTTCTATGGTAGCAGCATGTTTCATGCCAAACCCTGGATCCTTTCTAGATTATAGAGTTAAGTATTAAAAATGCTTTAAAAAGTAACTAATATTAATTTGTTGTTCAATAGACTATGCTTATTCTTGGAAAGCACAGAAGTTTAGAAATACAACAGCTAAACTTAAGGAAAAAAAAACAAAAATGCATACAAAATCATCTAGTCTAAAGGAAAAAAATTTTTTTTAATGTAACACCATCATGAGTACACTTTTTTATTCAGCAAAATGCTGATTCTACCATATCAAAAAAAGTCAATTCACACTTTTTAAGAAAAAAATTAAATCATAAATAGTATAAACACAACTAAAAGATATTCCATCAACCTTAAACCCAACATATTCTGAAGCCTCTCACCTGGCTGGATGTTTTCTCTTATGATAGTGACATGGTTATCTCTATCTGGTCGTGTATGTTCATGCCAAAAGCCTATCACGTGGCCCAATTCATGAACAACAATTCCAAATTTATCACAGTTCTTGCCAATAGAGATTGCCTGAGGTCCATTTCCCCGCCGACCTACATAGGAGCAGCATCTGTGATAAAGGAGAAAACAGAGATGGTGATGGCAATGATGGATTAATTACATTACAGTGAAACTTTCAATAATTATGATCAACAACAAAGGCCAACACATTCAGAAGCAGAGCAGTCTTTCTTCAATAAACCCAGCTAATTTCTAGTCCTGGTAAATGTATAGGACAACAAAAGTATCCACATAATCATTGAAGTGCTTTTCCACTAATTCATATATTAGAAGATAAGTCTTAGATCATTATTAGGAGTGTTCAGAAAATAAATGATCTATGATGGTGATTAATGCACTTTAAACATACAGTTACACTCAAGATTTACCAAACTACAATCATTTATAATACAATTTTTTTTTAGTCTCACAATCCATCTACATTATTTAGGTAACTACTGTGTCACTATGGTTATCTGGCAATAATCCATTATTTTGGTTTTGAAAATAAAAACAAAGTTTATTTTCCCTCTTTAAGAAAAATAGAATTAGGGGTGTCTGGGTGGCTCAGTCAGATAAGTGCCTGACTCTTGGTTTTGGCTCAGATCATGATCTCAGAGTTGTGAGATTGAGCCCCATGACAGGCTCCAAGTTTAGTGCAGAATCTGCTTGAGATTCTCTCTCTCATGCTCTCCCTCTACTCCTCATCCCCCCACACACTCTCTCAAGGAAAATAAAAATGAAAGAGTGAGAGAAAGAAAGGAAAAAGAAAAAAGAACAAAAGAAAAGAAAATGGCTCATCTAAAAAGGAGTTATTTTCCTATTCATGGTAGAATTTATTTTGAAGAAGAAAACTTTTAAAAGAGTGAATTAATGGAGGAAAACTAGTTTCAAAAGGTAAATTTTCTAAGGTTAATAGCCAACTGGTGGAGAAAAATCAATAACTGGTAGAATTATGATATTTGTAAATATAAATAAAATTATATCTAAAACTTTAATAATTAAGGTTTACATTAAAGTAGGTTATATATAAGATCACCACTTGAGACAGCAATAGAGGGCAGTAAATAATTGGTCTTGAATAGTTGGGAATTGTGATGCACAAGACACCAAACACTGAGGAAATTGCCAAAAATTAATCGCCCAAATATTAAAAGGAAATTTCACAAATTTTCAGTTTCCAGAGTAAGTATATTTGATAGTCCTTTTAATGGTTTGCAAATACAAACACTTGTCATTCCAATTATTTCTGTAGGCTTTAAATGCCTAAAATATCTTAACCTACACCATACACTTTTTTATGATCTATTATAACAGTTAATGAAGCTTAATAAATCAGTAATAGAAAAAAAGAAGTAACCAATAGGGAAAAAAATCAGGAAATTCAGGTTTTGTCTCCATTTTTAATACTATTTTTTAATCTATACACAAATATTTACTATATATACAAATAGTAAAGTATTTGATGTAGAAAAACACAAAATTTACAAATTTTTGAGAGATTTAAACTGAACAATTTGCTACCATAGAGCAACGGTAGTTAAACTGAAATATTTGATGACTACATAGCAACTAAATTATACACACTGAGTCATTCTTGCTGGTTACATTCAAAGAAGAAACTTTGCAAATCAAAATCTGGGAGATAGTCAAGCAATATTGTCAACTTATTTAATTTAAAACACTTTTTTAAAGCATAATTTCACCCATAGCAATTTCCAATAAATAAGATGGATTCCATAACAGAAAACAAAAATATATTTTCCACTGACTTTTATAATGATCCTATGAAAGAAGAAAAATGTGGTGCTTTGATTCCTATGGTTCTAGGGAGAGAATAATTCTGGATGCCCAGATAAGTAAATAACTAAATATATGCACCTATAATTAGGTATGGAATTACAGGGTAATATGTAAGGTTTATAAAAATGTAGTTTAAGCATGTCTAGGTATTATCTTAGTTTCAGATATCGCTCAGGTTGATGCCCTTTTATTGTATACAGCTTTTAATTTTTTTATTTGTAATTTGTGTGCTGCTTTTAAAGCTTGACCACTATAAGATCAGTCCTCTCAAGAAAAACTTTCACCACACCTCTCCCTAAGCTATAGAAAATAATCAGTTAATCTAAACCTGCTATTCCTTACTTTTGCCTCAGACTGGAGGACTAAAGCACCTTTGGATTTTGCCTATTAGATAATTCATCATGACATCCACAAAGATGTCCTCCCCACATCAGTCTTTTCTCAACACTAAGGTAATTTAAAAATTTGAAGTCATATCATGACTCTTCTCTACCCAATATTATCCAATGGTTACATGGCAAATTGTGTCAATGTTCAAAAATACTCATTACCCCTTACAGGAAGATGGTCATGCTTCTTTACGCCACTAAGGCTGAGTTTGGTCATGTGACTTGCTCCAGATAATGTCATGTGAGCACAAACTTTTGTGTAATCTCTGGAGAGAATCTTTAATAGTCAGTATGCTTGGCAATATTGTCTTTGTTTCATTTGCCACAACTGTGATGTTCTAAAGACAGGTTCCTCTGTCAGACTGAATTCTAAAGTGCTAACTCTGGAGAGAGACACAGCCAACCAGGGATGGACAGGCAATATAAACAAGGAATAAGTGCTTGTTATTCAAGGCCACTGGGATTGAAGGGTCATGTATTAAATGACATAAACCATGTCAGCTGACTAATACAAGGTTTCTCTTTTACTCAGAGGAAAATCTGAAGTACTCACAAATATCTGTAAGATCCCACACAATCTTCACACACAAATGTCTCACCATCCAGTCCCATCTCTTACTACCGTTCCTGCAATTACTCCTCCTGGGCCATGCAGTGTCCTGGTTGTGCCCTCAGCATACAGACATGTTCTTGCCTTAAAGCGTTTTTCCTGGCTAAGTACTTCTTCTATTGGGAACTCTGTTCTCCCACATGGCCATATGGCTCATTTCATATTCTTTTTCAAATTTTTGTGCAAATACCTTTCTGTCTCATTTATATTGCTTTCCTTTTTGTCCTAGAACTTAGTCTATTAATACATTTTATATTTCATTGATTTTCCTTTTTTTTTTTTCTGACTCCCCATTCTAGAATGCAAGCTATTTGTGGGCAGACAACTTACATGCTTTGTATACTAATATCTCTAGTCTGTAAAATATAGTCAGGCACATAGTATAGCTCACCAGATACAGAGAACAGATTGGTGGTTGCAAGCACTTGGGGTGGGAGGTGGTAGGGTGGGTCAAAGAAGGGAGTCAAAAAGTTCAAACTTCCAGTTATAAGTGTTGAGGAGGTAATGTACAGTATGGTGACTAAAGTTAATACTGTATCATATATTTGAAAGCTGCTAAGAGAGCAGATCTGAAAGTTCTCATCACAAGAAATAAAAGTGTTGCAACTATGGGAGGTGACGACGGTTAACTAAATTTATTGTGGGAATCATTTCACAAAATATGCATATATCAACCCATCACAGTATACACCTTAAATAAATACAGTGTTCCATGTCATTTATATTATAATAAAACTGGAAAAAGATCATTTTTGAAATAAATAAATTAATAAATATTTGTTGAAAGAACAGATCTCAAAAGTGCAGGAAAGAACTAAGACTCTGGTGGTGAGTGAGAAGTATCCAAAGCAGTGGTGAAGATGTCTATGACAAGGGGTTAAACATGCTCTTCCTGAGATACCTCCCTCTACCTGGCTCTCCACTTTTTCCACTGCTGTGATTCTATAAATTATCTAATAATCCAATGAGTCATTTTTTTTTCTGCTTAAATTAACCAGCTTCTGTTATTTGCAAGTAAGAATCCTGGCTAGCACACCTCCTCTGCCTAACTGTAAACTTCCTAGAGAGAAAAACACCTCACACTCAATAGTATAGTTCCCAAAATTAGTATAGTAAGTGGCACAAAATGAAAATTCAATAGGTAAAGATGAATAAGTGGCTGTTGCCATAATCTAAGTGCTAAACTGACCAAAGTTAAATACAATTTAAAGTACAAAATCTAGAAAATAGTTAAATTAACTTAATTAACCCTAAGTTTATTTGCTTGGTTAGTTATTTTTACAGAATCATTAAAAATTAGTGGATAGGAAAAAAGTAAGATTGATCAAGAAATTATAAGATTGTTCAAGAAACTATCTAGTAGAAGATAGAGCATATTCATGGATTAAAGACCTAAATGTGAGAACTGAAACCATAAAAATCCTAGAGGAGAATATGGACAGGAACTCTTTGACATTGGCTATAGCAACATTTTTCTAGACATGTCTCCTGAGGCAAAGGAAACAAAAGCAAAAATAAACTAGTGGGACTACAACAAAATAAAAAGATTTTGCACAGTGAAGGAAACAGTCAACAAAACTAAAAGGCAACCTACTGAACGGGAGAAGATATTTGCAAATAACATATCCAATAAAGGGCTACATTCTAAAATATATAAGAATTTATAAAACTCAACACCAAAAAGAAAAAAAAAACTAATTAAAAAATGGGTAGAAGACATGAACAGACATTTATCCAAAGAAGACACTCAGATAGCCAACAGACACATGAAAATATTTCATCACTCACCATCAGAAAAGTACAAATCAAAACTACAATGAGATATCACCTCATACTTATCAGAATAGCTAAAATCAACAACACAAGAAACAAGAAGTATTGGAGAGGATGTGGAGAAAAAGTAACCCTCATGCACTGTTGGTGGGAAGGCAAACTGGTGTGGCCCTTCTGGAAAACAGTATGGAGGTTCCTCAAGAAATTAAAAATAGAACTACCCTACAATGCAATAACTGCACTACTTATTTACCCAAAGAATACAATATCACTAATTCAAAGGGATACATGCTTCTCTGTGTTTACAGCAGCATTATTTAGAAAATGATAGCCAAGGTATGGAAGCAGCCAAGTGTCCATTGACTAATCAATGGATAAACAAGTTGTGGTATGTATACACAATGGAATACCATTCAGCCATTAAAAAAGAATGAAATCTTGTTATTTACAATAACATGAATGGAGCTAGTGAGTATTATGCTAAGTGAAATAAGTCAGTCAGAGAAAGACAAATACCATATGATTTCACTCACATGTGGAATTTTGGAACAAAACAAATGAGGAAAGAGAAGAAAGAGAGAGAGATAAACCCATAACAGACTCAACTATAGTGAACAAACTGATGGTTACCAGAGGGAAAGAGGGTAGGGATTGGGCTAAGTAGGTGATGCAGATTAAGAAGGGCACTAGTGATGAGAACCAGGTGATGTATGAAATTGTGTAAACACTATTAGTGATTACATTAGTGAAACTAATGTACCACTGTAAAAAAAAAATAAAATAAAATAAATTAAGTAGAGGATATTCAGCAATATAAAGTTGTACAATAGACAAATTCAGCTATATAAATTTCTGAGTTACAAAGAAATAAATCAAACTAGTTTTTATAAAGTGATCTCATATTTTGCTGATAATGATTACTTGTCTTGTACAATATATGCCACTGATGACAATAAATATTAATTGAAAAAATATTTATAGTTAAGTTAAACTTTTTGCCAATATATGGAGAGTTAAAGTATATGCCCCACTGAAGATGGATCAAAAATATCATAAGCTAAAAAGTTCTGACCTCGACCTTATTTTTTTTTAATTTTACCATTTTCCCATTTACCAAAGACTTGATATGGAATTAGGCACCCAATAAATATTTATTGCATAAAAGCTGTCCTAGTAGAATAAGGTAGGAAATACAGTGTTCTAAATGGTACAAAAGTGGCTCCATATTTAATAATTCTCCTATAAATATGGAGGACATTATTTTAGCTTTTATTTTTAAAAACTACAATAGCTACAAGTTGCCTTAGTGGGTAAGCTAAAATAAAAAATGATAAAAGTGAGGGACAGTCTAGATGGCTCAGTCAGTTAGGCACCCAGCTCTTGATTTCTGTTTAGGTCATGATCCCAGGGTCATGAGATAGAGCCCCACGTCAGGCTCTATGCTCTGTGTGGAGTCTGCTTGGGATGCTCTCTTCCTCTCTCTCTGTCCCACTTCCTGCTTGTGCTCTCTCTCCATCTATAAATAAATAAATAAAATCTTCCCCCCAAAAAGAGTAAAAGTGATATAAATGTGTTTGCCTAGATGTGTTTGCCTACCATCTTACAAGCCAGAAATAGAACTGGCAAATGTTGCCATCAATATCAATGGCACTACCTTACAGGCTCTTCATATTCAGTGGAGATTTATACTAGATATTATTAAATTCAACAGCTCTTATGAGATAAAGGACACAATACCAAAGTCCAATAGGAGTGTTATGTGTTTAACTTGACATAGATCTTATTGCAGTGGCCCTCATATTTTGTGCAACACCAACTGTCAAACTCTTTAATAATTCTGATTAATTTTTACAAGATGTAAATGCAGCATTATCATAGAAAAAAATCCCCGTAATGATAAAATAACTGTTTCATGAAACTATGGCCAATAATGGTAATTCCAAATGAAATTTAGAAGTCACAAAATGGTTAGAATGATTGGCAAGACAATGATCAATTCCTACAAAATGTATCATCCTTCCTATCATTGAAAATACAATATAAGGAAATTGAGTACAAAACAAATCACCAAATGCAACATTATTACTATAGCAGTCACATAATATTATATATGTATATATAAATACTCAAAAGTTTGATTTCAGTAGTATAATTACAGATTTAAGGATTTGAGGGGAATTCACAAGTTCAGTTTCCGTTTCTCTAAAATCTTTAAAGCCATTGTTAAAGTACATGCTCTTTAACACCTCTTTAAATTCTTACATTCTTTTCTTTTAGAATTACATACAATGTGCTTCAGCTGATGTGTAAATTGTCAATATTTTCTTGATCAGGGCACCTGGGTGGCTCAGTGGGTTAGGCCTCTGCCTTTGGCTCAGGTCATGATCCCAGAGCCTTGGGATCAGCCTGTGTCCAGCTCTCTGCTCAGCAGGGAGCCTGCTTCCCCCTCTCTCTCTCTGCCTGCCTCTCTGTCTACTTGTGATCTCTCTCTCTGTCAAAATAGATAAATAAAATCTTAAAAAAAATATTTTCTTGATCACCTATCTATAAAGCAGTGCACTGGGTGCTCTGAAGGGATACGCAACCTATCATCACAGATGAAGGCAGACATATGAACCAACAGTGGAAATGTGTAATATAATACTAATATAATATAGCTGAAGGTAGAGCAAAGTCACACTGAGGGTGGCTCAGAAATGTGAACCATTTCCACGATAACAATGGAAGCAAAGACATTACAAGGAAGCAGAAAAGCACAAGCAAATGCATGAAAAAATGATAGTGAATGGGGAAAAATAATCTAGTAGCATAAAACAAGTAAAATAAAAAATTTTGAAAAAAATAAAATTAATGGGGGCGCCTGGGTGGCTCAGTGGGTTAAGCCGCTGCCTTCGACTCAGGTCATGATCTCAGGGTCCTGGGATCGAGTCCCGCATCGGGCTCTCTGCTCAGCAGGGAGCCTGCTTCTCTCTCTCTCTCTCTCTCTCTCTCTCTGCCTGCCTCTCTGTCTACTTGTGATCTCTCTCTGTCAAATCAATAAATAAAATCTTAAAAAAAATAAAAAAATAAAAAAATAAAATTAATGAAAGAAACTGAGTATAAATACAAATTTGTTACAAACAAATTTATCAATAAAGTAATGAATGCCAATGTTTTGTTTGTATCGACTCTACAAAATTGAAGATAAAGGAAAGATGTATTGATTTGAATACATTATGTATTTAGAAATATGTAAGCTGAGCTGTATCCATTCCTATTAGATAACCAAAAGGAAGGAAGGAGAGTATAGATTTGGATGTTTTAAATATTAGATATCAAGAACTAGGAGGCATTTCAAATGTAACCAAAACTTGTCAAGCTAAAATATAGTGATTTAGGAGAAAACATTACTCGAACATGTCAAAGCTAAAAAATTATGACATTATCGAAAACAATATAGAAAGGTAACCATGTATAATTTTTCTTAATGCCACTCAGATATGGTCAAAATTAAAATCCATTACTTTTTAAGTGAGGTTAAATGTTCTATGAATATGTGGTAGATCAAGGCCAGACGACACAATCCTCCCCCAATACCTAGTGACATATATATTTTCTCCCAGAAAAAAATATACGTGATTGGGGCAAGAATTCTTTCCTCCAAAGGAATGAAGCATTTATTTTTATTTCCATGTAAAAATTATACTAGAGGGTATTCAAATAGTTTGAGCTGATTAGAGAAAATTCCTCTTTGCAGAGGATTCCAGCTAATAAATGTAAAAGGACTAAAAGGAAAGAACAACATTAGAAAATCACTATTTTGCAATGATGGGAACTTTTACAATAGAGGGACTGGCCCATCACTACTGGAATCCAGCGATCAACAGCAACATCGCTAAGTGCTAACCCACGTGCCTCCGGAGGGCATGCCATGTCAAGGAGGCAGCAAATCCTATCAAGTATTCTTCCCAAACAAGCAGAAGTTCAATGTGAATTTCATCAAATATTTAAATGTAAGTTCCGACTAACTGGAGATTGAGGGAAGAGAAGTTTGAGACCTTTTACAGTAGAAAGTCTTTAAGTATACAGTGTTGCTTGGAGAACTGCTATTACTGTAACTTGGCTAGATTATGAGATGTGGTGGCAGAAGAAGCTGCACATGGAAGTTGTGGTAAGTTCATGGCATTCTTTAAATGTTACAGCAAGGAATTTGGATTTTATTCTCAGGCTAACATTTCCCAAAATGTGTTCCGGGATACTGATATATGTTCTTCACTCTTAAAAGAGTGGCATGGATGTTCCGTTTTTTAAATAAGTTTAAAAGACCCTGTTATATTCTCTTCGATGGGTTGAATATTCATAATGTTCATTAGCACATTGCTGCAGAAATATCTACTGAAATTTAACACAGCATTTCACAACTTATGGAACAGTTGTTTCGGGGAGTGTTTATCATCCTGTAAGAAGCCAATCTAGAAAGCAGCACTCTACGAGGAAGCACTGAAGGATCTCAAAAAGGGTGGTGTCTTGCTCTGACCGGTATTCTTTGAAGGTAATTCTAGGGGCAGTAAATTGATGAGGGAAGACAGTCGAGCATTTGGAATAGGTCAGTTGTGACATGACGAAGACACAAATGGACTGAGGCACTGACATGGGACGGAGGTAGAAATCAAAAGATACAGTGAATATCAATGGAATCTTATTGCATAGATTTTAGAGGGAGCACAAGAGACTCCCAGACAATATCATTGAAGTCGCTAATTCAGATGAGTGGGGCGGTAGCAATACCATTGATATAGTTGCAACATAAAGAGAAGAAGTATTTGATGTGGTGGAGAAATACACTTGGGGTAGATGTACACAGGTCTACGATCAAAGACTATATTTATTTAAAATATATTTTCTTATGTAAAATTCACAGTCTTATGGGAAAATAAATGCTAACGAGGCAAATACTAAGAAACAAATCCTACTTCGGGATTTTCTTTTTTCCTTTCTACATTTGCTTAAGTCATTCCCTGGTTCTACTTACCCACAAGGTCTATATGTGAATACAATGTAACTCTCTTCATCACTTCTTTCAATAAAAGTCACGCATGTGTGCTTTTCCCAGTGCCTCATGGCCTGCTTGAACATGGCTCGCTGACTGCCTGGAAAAATGGCAGGATGTTAATAAAATAAAATGTCTGCCTTGGGGAGCAGTGCTACATGCTGGATTCTCCATCCTGAGTCTGGCTGGGCAGTTCAGATGCCATCACTCTCATCAACCAACAATTATTAGCCTAGAGCACCACAGGTGACCACTCTTAAGAATAGACACTCGCCTTATAATCAGAAGGTTCAAGCTCACTATCCCTACAGATATGGGTGTACATGGCTTTATCAACAAGACATACATTCTTCCTGATAGTTGAAGAGAAATCAACTTCCTGACTTGATGGGCACATTTGCAAGTCAGTTTAAAAACCGGAACAGTAATTTAGACTCTTAGAACTCAAGACTAAACATATTTTTCAACTTCAAAGACTTTCTAAACCAACAAGCAAGATGAGTGAAGTATTTCTCATGTTTGATTTAATACTATATTCTGTATATTAATATTCTGGAACAATACACACTTAATCTCTATAATATTTCCTTATAAAAATAAACACTCCGGGAATATTTTACCAGTGAAGTTGCCTCCTATAACATAAGGAATAACACCTCCAGGCCATATTCTTTCGGTTCTTGATGTCGCAGCTCTGGGAACTCGATTTTTCTCATTTTGCCCTGAGAATTTTAGAGGTACTTTTCCTTTAACTGTGCTGTTTTGCTCCAAGCCTGCAGTGACATTTAAAACATTCTGTGAAACAGAAGTCCTTGGTCAGGGATTCATTTCCTCTTAAAAGACTAAGTTGAAATGTCTTATTTACATATTTGTGTAAATATGCCTGAAGTCAAAATGCACTAAAGAAAAACTTCATTTATATTACATACTTGCAAAAGTATTAAAATATTGAAGTACTTGATGTCAAAGCACTATTTCTTAATGCTCTATGAGCAAATTTTTATGAATTCCCATACAATAGTCTACAGCGGATAAATGTCAGGCAGACTGGTAGGCCACAAAAGATAGTTTTATTTATTTTAATTTACGAGTTCACTGCCAATTCACCACCAGATGATAAATAGACATTGTTTAAAAAGTCACAAGATATTCAAAACTCATCTTAACTCTTGCTAAATCCTTTATTCTTTTAAAGCAGGACTGATATTCCATAGTACAGCCTAAAATTATGAAAATTACAGAGAGGATAAATGAAATACTGTTAAGGCAGATGTGGTTTCAGCCTCCTGGGATGCTGGTATATCTCTGTTCTAATTTTCTCTGGATTCAGATCCAGGTGATTTAGCACGATTTAGAGATCAGTACACAATGTGAACAGGCCAACATAAAATGTGGCCTATTCCTGGAGCAGTTTTCAAGTCTGTAATCATTAATCTTCTTGGTGGCCTTTCAAAATGTTTTTGTTACAATTTTTGTTTTTCCTAAATTTTCATTATTATCCATTCTTATTCATCTATCACTATTGATCCAAATATCCCACTATTGGAATACACTTCAGATACAACAAACATTGAATTCATGCCCACTGTTTCCACATCCCTAAAAGGTCTATCTTTTAATACCCTGAGACAAAGCACCTTCGCTTGGGAAAATAATTCCTTCAAAGTGTGTACTGTCAATTATTTAAGTAATAATTCACCAATTTAAAAAATGTTAGGACACACTTTGAACAGAAAACTTTTTAAACACTCTGCAATCTATAAATAGTGTAAAACAAATTCAATACCGTGAGTATTAACTAATTTTGAAACCAGAAGGCTATTTTCTATGTATACTTCTGGAAGGGTCAAAACATTTTAAATTCAGTTTTTAAGCTAACAAATAGGCTTGTCGATTTACTTTACATGGAATAGATTTCAAAACAGTCATGACATTTTTTTGATTTGATTAAAACTGATTGATGTAGTTCCATGCTCAGTAAAACACCTTCGTGTGATACACACTGCACCAGAAGTAAATATCACCAGTAAAATAACCCCCTAATGCATTTTGTAATGAGAAGCAGAAAATAAGTTAAGGAAACATTTCAGCTGTCCCAAATTAAGTTCAAAAAAACTGACATTAAACAACAGCTAACAAAAATGAATAAAGGACTCCTTCTCAGCATATACCCTTTTCATCCTTCGCATATTAATGACAAACTGAACTGCTATTAGTATAATATTTACTGTACATCAAGTCAAGCATCTGCAACTTTAAACATTGTTATACCAGAGCCAATTCTTCTTATCCTGTCTATAAGTTGGTAGAGGGCCCCTCGTTTCTTTGACATACCATGGTCTCCAAATCCACCTTAAGAATAAAAGAAAATAGTAAGGTTAAACTCATTGCCTGTTAAATCTCTTCTAAATAAACCATACCAACAGGCTACAGTGATTTCTCTTTAGACATCTTTTTTTGAATGTGGCCTTAGAACATTAGAGTCATGAATATCCATAAATCTCAGAAGAGTGTAAACATTCTACAAATACAGTTTTGGTAACTAAAAACAAGTGGGTGGGGTGCTCCACAGAGCAATCTAAGTGACTTTATTCAGACATCATGACAACTGAGTCATCTATTGATAATCTGGAACATTTTTCTTCTCTGTGACCTTGACATCACATCACGTTATATAGGATGACAGCAAGTTGTTCTGCCCTGTTGATTACATCCCAGCTATTTCTCCAATGTAAACTGAATATTTTCAGAAGCCAAATCAGCAAATGGAAATAAAAACATTAGAAGAGCAATTGTATAGTGCAAGTCTTGCTCCAAAGTTGTGATCAATTTTGAGATATTTTTAAAAGCATATCATATTTTATTACATATTCAAATACAATTTGAAAATAAGTTTTGAAAATCTGTTAAAAAATAACACAAAATTACAGAAAAATAACACATAATTACAGAAATCCAAAAGGATGTTAAGCAGCAAAATATGTTCTGTTAATCTATGTTATCTATGTTATTGGCATATAAAAACCGATGTAAAGAATTTTATAGCTCAAAAGGTAGAAAAAGAGGTCAGGGTAAGAAAATACATCCTTTTGCAGTTTCACCAACTGGAAAAAGACTAGAAAAGGCAGATTTCCTGTCATAAGTCAGAAACCAGAGCATTTGAGGAAAATCCAAGTCCTCTGATTCTCATTCCAGACCTTTAATAAAATGCTTTCCCAATTTATCTCCTGTTTTCCTTTCTTTTTCGAATTTTCAATAGACAAATAACAAGAAGGTGTCACCGAGCTAACAACCAATATAACCACTAATGGTATTGAACAACTGCAGACGAATTTATACCACGGGAGTATGGTTCCTGAGTCTCTGTGGGTGAAGACAATGAAAGGGCCAGAAATCCATAAAGACAACAAACTGTTCTTGCACCTTGATCTCTCTCTTTCCAAAATATTTTTCCCCCTTTGAAATTAATACCAAAACTTATTTACCTAGATTAAAGCTAGTAAAAACCAAAACAATCACAAAAACCATTATCATATAAGCCTTCTAGAGCAAAAAATCAATTACGTCCTTATAAGGCAAGCAAGTTAGAGTGCCTGTTCACTGACTAATAACGTGCTTGATTATTTGCTTTACATGGTCACATTTTTGTTGTGCTACTTGAGAAAAATTTTTGAAATATTTTCATTGAACATCTTAGAAAGATGAGGTAATATTTCAATGTATTCATTCTAAGTAGTTATAAGAAACATTTTTAAAGAATGGCATTTATATGTTTGAAGTGACAATAATGTAACAATTGTACTTCGTATTAGATAGAGCCTGAACCACATATAAATAGATCTAGAAGAAGGTTAATTATGAGAAAAAGAAGTGTCTGAGTTAATATTAAGGTAATAATAGGGCTAAGAGTAATTATAGAATTTTCAAAAAGCAATGTTTCAAGACCACTAAAGGCAGTAATGCCTTTAAAATTTAGCAATTTTTAAACATTTTTATAGAAATTGAAATTATAAAAAATTCTGTGTAGGTAATTCATTAACATAGAAAAATGATAAAATAAGTGGTTATTTCTTACATACTCTAAAAACAAACTGCAAATATACAAACTAAGTAAATACTTATGGGAAAGGCTATACAATTTGAAATAAGAAAATAAGAAAAAAAATTGATTTGATCTCCTCACTTATAAGTCACAATAATATTAGTAGCTTCTCTTCATGGGATTATTATGCACATCCAAAGAGTTACTATCTGCAAAGCACTTAAACCAGGCCTGGTACCTTGTAAACATTACAAACTGTCAAAGAAATTAACTAATAAAATTAAAACTATGAACAAAATCTAAATTTCCAAATAGGTTTGTTTATGTTTAGGAAATCAAAGTTGATCAGCAGGACATTAAAAGTGACCCAAAGAATACTTAAAGCATTTCAAGAGTATCTTTTCTCCAAAGTGAACACAAATTCAATCAAATAATCTACCATACCTGTGATATGTCCAAGTCCAAAGGGGTTCTGTGTAAGGTCAATTGTCCTATCAATTTGAAAGATACTTAAGTCTTCATCATCTAAGGCAATATCACCCCAAAACACAGCTAAAAAAGAAAAGTTCAATTAAAATGTAAAATATTTAAGAGCAAAGTCAAAGCACACAAAGCTAATTAGAAAAATATTGCTAAAAATATGGAAATGCTGTCCATACAGACAGGTATTTCAGAAAGTAATTGTATAACTGAGTATAATATTGGACCTTTTCACTATAATATGAACCACTTGCAGAAGGGCATGACTTGTGTTTAGCAGGAGGGTTTAAGTTATTTCTTTGAATGAAATGGTCACGATTTATGGGGGAATCTAAAGAAAGTGAATTAACTAATCATGGCTAATTTGCAAGTAAATGAAAATCTGATAAGTGTTCTTGAATTCACAGTGGATGTCTGTGACCAGCAGCAGGTCTTCACTGACAAGTAGGAGACCTAGTAACAGCTTAATATTGTACTGTTATAGAAACTTATCACATTTTTATACAATTATACGCACTTTCTCTAAAGATGGCATTGCTTCTGAGTTTCTGTAAAAGCTATAAATAATTATCAAAAATAATATTTAAGTCAACATTTATTTAGTCAATGACTAGGTGCTACACCTTTGACCTTTAAGGATAAATAAAACTGTTCATATTTTCAGGAGCTTCAAAATCATTGCCCCAAATCCTGAAAACCCTCTGACTCTGTCTGTTGTATCCAGTCTTTTATGCTACCTAATAAAACACAGCTCCATAAACCATTGTGGAAAGAAATGAGATAATTTCTTTAAAATCAGTATGTGAATTTCTCTTTTAAGGTCGGAAATATACAGTAACATAACAACAACAAAAAAAAATTCCTTCCTTTTTGAGTCCAAAACTAATCAATCTCTTAGTGCTGCCAGTTGTCAAAATATAGTAACTTTAGAAACAGCAAATTTAAAAGAGATAATAAATTAATCAAGAGATAGTAAAACACTGACAGATGCCTTGGAAATTCCGGGATAGCTGTTTCATGACACAGGATTACAAATTTTCTTTTACAAGTGTTTCTTCAAATTTTTCTTTTGCAAAACCAAGAGAGGAGGAAAATACATTAAAATTTTAGGAAATGATGAAATCCATACGTTTCAAATCACTGTCTTTTAGTAGATTTAAACCTTAATATTTAGGAATTTTAGCTATAAAAATAGTTAATAAAATTAATTTATGAAATTGAGATTTCAATTTTGAAAGCTATACTTTAGGCTCTGGTCAAAAGTTTATTATGTAAAATTATTTACCCAGTTTAATTCCCTCATACAAAATGACATGAGATAAGAAAGTTAGATTTATGTGTAAATCTAGAAAGGAAGAAAATAGAAGTTAGTTCAAGGTGAATTATCAGTTCACCATAAGGAAAAATATTAACATTAGAAATCTCTCATAAACTCTTCTCTTCCACCCTACTGTCAATGAAATGGCAGTCTGTAGAATCAGAGAGAGGCTTGCTGTCTTTTACTGTCATAGAGACAAAGTCATGAAAGGTTTGTAGAACAGTTTACAACACTGGGTAAGAGGCTGGTCTTGATGCCTGAAATTGAAGCCAGATTCTAATCAGCTTCATATACCTCTAGCAGACACTGCTGATGCTCCACTGGCCCTAAAACCAGACATCTCAAGAAATAGATGGCCTGCCTAAATTTAAAAAAAAAAAAAAAGCACTTTTATAAAAGCCTTGTTAATTTTCATAAAAATAAATTTTGCACTTTTCTCCCAAGATTGTATACTTTAAGGTGAATTCAAGTTTGCTCGTTACTGAAATCGTCCATCATCTGTGTTTACCAGGCAAACAGGGGAGGGCATTGACTGGCAGTGACTGAGCCTCACTCTTCCTTAGTGCTGGGGGCATCTGGAGACAGGGAAACAGTGGTACTCTAACGCATTATCACCTCGAATAGGGATCCCAATGGATCGGGTTAAAACGCAGGCTCTGATACCATCGGTCTGGAGAGAGGCCTCAGATTCTACACTTTTTTTTTTAAAGATTTTATTGATTTATTATGTGACAGAGAGAGAGAGATAGTGAGAGAGGGAAAACAAGCAGGGGGAGTGGGAAAGGAAGAAGCAAGCCTCCAGTAAAACAGGGAGCCCGGTGTCGATCACAGGACCCTGAGATCATGACCTCAGCTGAAGACAGATGCTTAACAACTGAGCCACCCAGGTGCCCCAGATTCTACATTTTTAACAAGCTGCCACTATTGCAAATAATTGTCATTGTCATCATCATCTTTATTAGCATTTTTTTTGCAAGAATAAACTTTTGCTCCTCTCTGAACCAGCTGGTTAACTTGAAAACTGAGGCACTCAACCAAACAAAACGCAGTTTATCCATACTCCATTTATATAATAAAAGTAGTATGAGTAAAATAAAACCCAAATGTGTTTTAGATTTTTATTTTCTTGTAACAACTTTTCATATGCAATAGGATTCTTGATGGATGGATTATATCAAAAACAGAACAGCAGTCCAAGGATATAACACTTCACAGAAGCAAAAACACTACTTTTGGGGAGGAGAAAAGGCACAAGGCCAGATGGTTCTTAAAAGGAGAGAAAACTGTTCTAAAATACATACACCCATTTTTTTTTTTAAATCTACTGTTATCTTTTCTGAACTAAAAAGCTTCAGAATGGTTGTGTCAGTTCTCAACACACCATGAACTGCTTCAGGAGAAAACCAAATATTTCTTTGAGAAGAAGCCATAGTGAGTGACAAAGCCAATTCATTTGTGAGCAGACCTGATATACTGCAGGCCAAATATATCTTTAAATTTTGATACTATCAATAGAAAAAAAAGCCATCTTAAAATTACAACCTATCACACAGTTTTAAATGCACAATTTCTTTCTTCATATACTGCACACATTTGAGGGTTTCCTTCATTCATCTTTTGCTTAAATGTAAGTGTCCTATTTATTTTTACATGCTGAAGTACTTTACTTATGCACTGGTAGAGCAAACTGGACCACACACTCTATATTACATGGATTTAGAATTTGCATGATAATCTAACACATATTTATTATTTAGTATCCAAGATATTTGAAATTCTCAAATCCACTTTGGAGGGTTTTTTTTTTTTCTTTATGGTATTTTCGATTTGTTTTGCATCAAAAAAACCCCACAAAAATTAGAAATAGTTTAAAAGAGTATGAATTATTATTCATTAGGCCCATTTAATGCAGTGATTTGAGGTTGGGGATATCAGAACTGAAAGCAATACAGGAAACTGGTTATAAATGATAATACTAAGGAAATGCTCAAGTGCAATTAGAATATTTACTATCTGTTTGGAATCCTGCTTGGATTCCTATGGTCAAAAATGGGGTTAGAGCTAACCAACAGGCCAAAATAAAATGTCAAGAAGAACAATTTTTAAACTACATGGAAAACCACAGGTATTGTTTTTCTTCTGAAGGCTATTTGCATTCATTGTACAATATTTTTTTAAATCAAAGACCAAGAAAGACAAATAGCTTTTATTGCAGTAGATAAACACATTTTATAGAAGAATATATGGTAAGAATGAACAATCCAAGATCATGATTCCCTACACTGTAACTTTAAGTGATAGTTCTTCCACACATTCAAGACTCCCAAGTGATCTTTAGCCTTTCCATTTTGAAGGTGGAATCCAGCAACCAGGCTTCAAGCTTGTGATTTCCTAAAAGCTGTATGCAAAAAATACGTATGAGTTTATACACCCAGTCACAACATGGTTTGCAGGAGAGAAGTCCACTATAGGTTGTCAGAAAGGATCACACAAAGTAAAGAGCCTCTATTTTTGCCAAAAGCAAAGCCTTTCAATCCACTCAGGAGAAAATGCTTGCAAACTAAATACCTTCACAAAAATGAATACATTCATGTGACATTCATGTGAATTCATGCTAATGTGTCTGATAGCGGGTTACTACTTGATAGCACACCATAACAAACAAAGGGATAGAGTCTCCTCAGACATTACCTATAGAAACCCCTTCCAGAAACCCCTCTTTCCAACTAATCTGGTATCACCTCTGCTTCCGTGTCCTGCTTGTGCTTCTGTCAGTAATAGAGCAAGACACAAGATTTCATGCCATGTTTTCAACAGCCTAATTCTTCAATCTAATTTTGAAAATACTGACCACAGGCAGCATAAGTTGCTCATCTTTAAACTCTCCCTGCCAGAGTGGCTGACAAAAAGGAGGTCCTCGACATATGTTTTGAGACACAAAAAAAAAATGTGAATGAGAAAATACCCTGGCTAGGGGTATAAATTGTGTATGACAAAAATAAGACTAACCAGGCTATATGCTTCACAGATTTTGCCCTAAGACCGAAAACACAAGATATTCACCATTCTAAGGAATATTTCAATAATTTCAATCTAGAGTGGATTATTGTTAGATACTCAACAAAAACTTTTTAAAAAGGCAACTGCCTTTCTTTTTTATTTCAAGAGTATATATTATGAAGTGTAGTTATGGGAAATGTGTCCACTTTTCTCTAAACATCATACTGATATGCTCAGGAAATACAGACTGAATGAACAGATCAGATATCTTGAGATTTATGAGATTTGAAGAGATAACGCAAAGATTCAACAATAGCCAAGAGCACTCGCTTCTTACATTGTTTCCATATACAGTTTAAACTTTCTGCTTTTATTGATATTGGATTTAGGGAGGAAGAATGATGTCATGTGAAGGCCTGACAAGGCTGCTTTGGCTGCTTACCCTACAATAAAGGCTTAGGAAAAATTTCCTCAGACAAGGACAACAATGAAGGCTCAAAAGTCAACTATTTTTACTTGATTGACAACCACTAAGCAAATTCCCAAGGAAAAGTAAGATTTGGCAAAAGTTCTAATTATACATTTCGGAGACAGTGTTACAATACTTTAAAGGGAAAACAATTTGGTGGCATTTCATATGTACAGAATAAATTTGTGCCCCAAAATGACACGCATGAAAGTTAAGTTCAGTTCCAAGTTTGGTAAACAATTATCTTTAAAGTCTTGATACTACATAAAAGTAAGTAAATGCATA